TTTTAATAGTAAACAGTTTTAATAACATTTACCGGCCTGAATGTCCGAGAAATTTTCATTTGACAGGAATCGAACCTGTATCCTATACGGAACCGTCATTTAGCATGGCGTGCCTTAACCGATCGAGCCACGGAGAATCGTTCGATTGGCAAGGTCGATTTTTTCAATCTTCCATGAATCTCTCACGTACATTCATATCAGCTCAAAGCGTATCCAAATGTAAACAAATGACGTCACACATTATGAAATGGACAAAGTCCGACAATTATTTTTAAGACATTTTTATGTTTATACATTCTTTTTATAGATACAAATATTTAAGTAAATATATACACACACATAAATGGACATTGAGGTCAAAATATAGTCCTCTAGTAGTAGATAGGTATTCTCGAATACGAGTGGCCAACTATATATATATATATATATATATATATATATATATATATATATATATATATATATATATTACGATAAACGTGCAATCAATTTACAAATTTATGAATTATTCACACAAAAACAAATTAAATCATTAACCTTTGCATTTGTTTTTGTGTGAATAATTCATGAATATATATATATATATATATATATATATATATATATATATATATATATTGAGGTGTCAACACCAGGCGACAGTCTGTTTCCTGCTTGAACGCAATCTTCAGGTCATTTAAATATTTTATATTCTTATGCTCTATTTCCGATACTGAACACTTTAACCCATAAATATAGCATATCTCAAAACTTTATTATATATATATATATATATATATATATATATATATATATATATATATATATAGCCGTCAAACTTAACAAAGTTACAGAAAAGTATCAACCTTACTCAGAATATATAAAACGCATTAAAGAATCTATCTAACAACAAATTATTTATAACGGTATCCGATAAATCTAATCTGTGTTATCATTATAGATACCGACCAACGCGTGGAAAAATCCGAATCCCTCGTAGTGGATGACAACATTTACGAAAATATTTGTAAAGAATAAATGAACTTAATTTTTAATTCGCTATTATTTTTATTATTCTAAACGTTCTTGTTATGGTTACGTGTAGTAGACGCCCCGCTTTACTCCTCTTTTTTACCAGTGTGAACTGCGCATGTGAGAAACTTAATGAAGAAAATACTGGAGAGCATATTTTTGTGACTGAGTCTCGCACAGGACGCTTACGTAATTCACACTGGTAAAAAAAAAACCAGGGCGTCTACACAAACATGAGTATCCACTAAAACAGCGTTTAGAATTATATACTTTATATATATATATATATATATATATATATATATATATATATCCAGGTAAGATGAGAACGAATAGAGTACAATTCCGACGTTCGTAACATTTCATTTAAAAGAAATCTTTCACTCGCTAGTAATTTACAATCAATCCCCTGATGAGATGATTTGTATACGCATCGAAACACGACTGCATTTGTGCAGCGATTTCCCATGTGATATCCTACAATAATGGATATATATATATATATATATATATATATATATATATATATATATATATATATATATTTGGTTGATTGATGAGTTTGTGACCCTGGGTTTCACGCTTTTGCGATCGTCAGATATTGTGAAACCCAGGGTCACAAACTCATATCAATCCAAACAAATATGTTAGCTCTATCTCTGATATGGAGCGCTTTCTAATAAGTACCGCGCGTATAATATATAAATAAATATATATATAGATATACACTTTTCATATATATATATATATATATATATATATATATATATATATATATATATATATATATATATATATATATATACACACACACACACACATATATATATATATATATATGGAATTCGAACTCGTCTCTCATTTTTTTGTTTTTTCAGTCGAATCCATTACATTCACTTACGTGCTAATACCCTTGGAAAAGGTATTAATCCTCTTCTTCTCCTCACGCCAGGTATGGGTAAATAGCAAGACAGACTGGGTTCTATAACCTTGGATGGCAACTGGTCTATGATAGGGAAAACTCTGAATTCAAAACCTGCGGAGGGTTGATTGGGGACCTTGTGGCACATTGTGCACCAGGTCTCCTTATTCGGCCCTTGAAAAAGTGTGGTTGGTTCTGCACAAAGCCTTCACCACTATAATCAAATCATATATGCTGGTGTCTGGGGTGTCGGTTCGTAGGAACTGAGTTGCTTGACCCCCATACGTCGAATACGACGGGAATGTCCACCATATATACATATTAGTTTATTGCTTAAACTTTATTTTTAATGGATACCCATATTTGAGTAGATGGCATTTATTTATTTATTAATTTATAATTTATTTATATGTTTATTTATTTCCATCTACCGGTCTGAATAATGGAGAAATCTTGTTAGAAAAATATGCGCCCTCCGGATTCCCTATCGTTGTCAGCGATTGATGATCTAGCTCTGATTAAAAAACGAAATTTCTAAAGGTGATTTCAAAGATAGCGGGATCTCCG